ATTTCTATGCATCAGGGACCAAAGAAAGCAACATCCCATTAAAAAAAAAAAAAACCTATAATGCAGCCGAATGTTGTTCAAAGATTGTTACAAAAAAATTTAGGACTTTGATGATAGAGCAATTTGGCACATACATTCAGAAAGGAATAAGATCGTAGAGATTATGCACAAAAAAAGATTGGGGGAAGGTATCTCAGGAGTCTGATGTGTAAAACAAAAGCCCCAATGAAATACACAGCATAACATTATAAAATAAAAGCTTGAACAGACAGCAGCTGTTCTTGTTGTCGTTACAGTAAGAAACTGTTCATGTCATGACATTGAAACAATGTCTTCAATGCTACTTTTCCTGCAATACAGGGCGGAGATAAATCTGTGTGGCCCTAGGGATCAACAGGCCACACAGTTTAAATAATTATCTGTCTCACCATTCACTTTGGCAAACTTTCAACCTAGAAGGAAACCAGACTCTAAGCAGTGCTGGTTTGGGCTAGTATATTAAGTTGTGTCGTTTTGTTAAGGGACATGGAGCAATATGACTCCTTTAAACATTCAGAAGCCAAGGACATTCATGCAGTCACAGAGCATTTTCTGTTTCTTGTAGTTTGCCACTACATGAAACTAATCTAATCCAGACACTTCTTTCTAAATCAACAAGTTGTATATTTACTTACCTACCAGTAGGGTTAGCACTCCTAAATTTGCAATAATGTAAAACAGCAGACAGCTGTTACAATTAATTGCCACTATTTTCCAATGAATTATCTAGCTCCTCAGAAAACACTGAGGCCTTAGGAAGTCTTCACAAAGATATGCGAATTAAACGTTATGATACTGAATTTGACTACATATTCCCAGATGAGCTTAGAAATGCAACTTCTGCTTGAGTGACTACCCTACGTTGGAAAAAATCCTATTCTTTACCCCAGCCAGCTAGTAATTTATCTAGGAACACTTTACCCTAACAAAAGTCCTATTCTCCAAATTTAAGTCAATAAAATAGTTTATAGTAACACTGACACTATAACAGGGCTACTCAACACATGGCATTGTTTGGATTTACACAGGGCTCAACACATGGCTCGAAAATAGAAGCCAAAACAAAAAAGTAGTCAATATAAAGGTCTTCTGTTGATATGCCCGTTAGTAGTTCAATTCCTTGTCTGTCGTTGCTCATTAAAAGTGCTATCATATGGGTGGAAATCAGGTAAATACTGCATTTTACTAGTATCAGCAGAACTTACTTAAATGGGGCCTGCATGTTATATAGTCATGCCTTATTCTTTATATTCATGGTGGTCAGAGAGAGAGAGAGAGAGACAGACAGAGACACCACGCTTAAGTTGCGGCCCTCAGCATGTATCATTATAGCTCCCAAGACTTCCAAAGTTGAGTAGCCCTGCTCTGTAACAAGTCCTACAGTGACTAAGATGGATTGTAAAATGAGGACTGAAAGCTACAACACACACACACCCCTCACCCATACGCTCAGGGTCCTTTGTATTAGAAGTGTCAGATTTAAACAAAAGATTCTATAAGTAGTTTTCTACAGTGGCACATGGGTGTCCAGAGGCCTCATTTGGGTATCACAAAGGTGTGGGAAAACCAGAATAGCAGTACATTTGTGTCCCCCCCCCCCCTTTCCATTTTCTCTGTCACACACACAAAAAGGACTCTTTAGCAAGACTTCTCATATGCTTTACCTGAGTGCCATTCAGAAAAACTGACTAGGAAATAGTCACTGAGAAAAGCACTTCAATGCATAAGCTTGGCACTTGACGGAGAAAACCTGGCTGCTAGAGCTGGTCCTCTCAAACTTGAGCTTAGTTAAAACAGCTGCTCGCAGTCAGCAAAGATGGCTAGTTACCAGTTTGAGCCCCAATTTAAAAAAAAATGATTGTGTAACTAGACCTCTATGTTCACACTGATTACAGAAATAGGAACCAAGCTATCTATGCTTCATTCTTGCACAAACAAAACAAAAACTGACAGTTTGCAGATTTAGCATTTTTTTGAGAAATGGGACTTCATTCTTATTTTGTATACATATTTCCAATACCTGCTGCTGATGGGGTTTAAAGCAAGCATCATCATCTTCACTGAGTCCTCACAAATGTGTTTATGAATGTAAGTAATTTTGTATTTATCGACTTGAGACTTGCTGAATTTAGAAAAAACATTCATACTTATTTTTATGTATTGCACCCACCTGGGTCTTCATTTCTAAGTGTTATACTTTCAACATTTTTCTTCTACTGCTTTGTAAAAAGCAAAAATATGATAGCCAGCTGGCTAAACAAGGGAAGAGTCAAACAGTGTATAAGTACAGTCAAATGCACAAAGTGACAAACTGGAAAAAAAAATTGTTTTAGCAATAGCAATTGAGAATAACATGGAATAAATAGGTAATTTTTCAGACGTCTGATTTATAATTGGTAGTGACTTGTGTAATTTGAAGTTATAATGCTAGACTGTGGTAACAGGATGACAACTGTACTAATTTCCCTTTTAGCTGTTTTCAGGGACATTCAGGCAAAAGTAAAACAAGGAAGTGTAATTAAATTAGCTATATTAAATGATTTAAATAGTTTCTCATTTCACTGTTTGTGTTTGTATTTCCTAGTTTAGTCAATTAAAGTATTTTATTTTAGTAAATTTCACTTTTGAGTTCTCGGCACTAGCTTAGTCCTGGAAGGTGCAGGATGCACGCAGGACAGATCAAAGTTTAATTTTAAAATTGTCTTCATTTCAACTGAGTTCCTGGTAAGGTACTGATCTGGAGACTTAGAAAAGGCTTTAAAAAACCCACATAACATTAATTTTGAGTGAAGTTGGGACAACCATGCTTCTTTAAAAAAAACCAAACAAACCCCACAGTAGTAACAGGCCTGCTTAATCCCCTTTTAACAAAAACCAAACTTGAATTTAAAAACAAAGTATACTTTAAAATGCCCTGTCAAGAGTGTTTATAAACCAGAAGTGTTAAGCAGCACAGGTTTCTTATTTCTTTTTCAATTCAACTATACTGTGAATTTCAAAACAGATCTGCACAAGCTAGTATGGAACTATAAAAGCTCATGCTCTCAATTCTTTCCAGGTATTTCAGAGGAGAAAGACCCCCATGAACACAATTGCATATAGTACAATACTTAGATTGCAAACAGTTGCCTTTAACATACTGATAGGAACTGTGTGTATTACGTTCATTTATATCATGTTCCATAAAAACTGCATTATTGCTGTAAAACATTTCAAGTTTACCAACACCCAGTACAACCAAACCAATGTTTTATATATGCACTTGCCCAGCTTCAATATCATAAATATGTAATATTGAAGTTTGTTTTGTCTCCTTTAACAACCAAATTTAAAGCTTTGAAAACGTCTAACATTTTTGAAAACTTATTTTTCACAATATCATTAATCATTACATGCATTTACTTTAGCTTTCAGATCATATTGCTAAAAAACTGCACCAATATCAGAACAGTGCAAATCATATTTAATTTTAAAAGTTATAATGGCTTGAGTTCATAATTATTAAAAAGAACACTGTCAAGATTCTGGTAATTTTGCTTACTCACCATTGCTTACATTCCATTCAAACAAAAACATTTCCTTGTCATTTTTTATGTTTTCCAATATTTTCCCTCTGTACTTTAGTTAATGCTGAAATTGATGGATATTCATCCACAATTTCAACTTACATAGTGCCTTAGTGTCATATCTTCTTTGTGCCCCAGCACCAATTAACACAGCTCTGAAAATAGAAGCTTTTCAGTTTTTCCAACAGAAAGGAAAAAAAGAATAGCACTTCTTAGCCCACAAGTATTTTTCAGCAATGGAAAGATTTATGAGACCAAGAAATTGGGAGGATTTTCGTCTCTTCCCCAGTCCCCAATTCATTAAACCCAATTTGTGACATACTATAAAAGGAATACAAACACCCTGACAGTGTTCCTTATAAAACCATATATGACAGTAAAAGTCCCAGTAGGCATGGCAACCTCTTTTGAACGGATCATTAAATTCCTTGACACTGGGAACTGCCAGCACCAAGGATTACATTGAAATTCAAAATTATAGTAAGGGTACATATATTTAGCAATCTCACTTTCCATAAGACTAATAGTCTATCAACATGTTTGAAAATTTAGAAACATTCAATCTTGGACTTTTATGCTCAAAATTGAGAAAAATGAAATACTCTCTTTAGCATGGGCAGTTTATGAAATTCTGGCAGCAAATGCCTTAAGCACTGACTACTCAATATACCATCATCCACTTATGTTTAAGGTTCATAACTGGCAAGGCACATTTACATATTCCAATGAATACTTGACAATTTTAAATTACACTTCATGTCCCAGCTAGCCCAGTAATTGACATACAACATACTAAAATGGTTTATTAAGGTAACAAAAAAATCAATTAATGTGAAACATACAGGCCATTGGCAACCACTATTCTAAAAATTATGTAAATACAACATACTGAAATGTGTGCGATTCTAAGTTTTTAAACCAGAAGATCTCTGTACTAACACACATTTATATTAATGACACATAAAAAAAATAAAAACTTTATTACAAAAATAAGTTACACTCGCCTCCAGCTTACAGTATAATCAATTAATGTGAAACATACAGGCCATTGGCAACCACTATTCTAAAAATTATGTAAATACAACATACTGAAATGTGTGCGATTCTAAGTTTTTAAACCAGAAGATCTCTGTACTAACACACATTTATATTAATGACACATAAAAAAAATAAAAACTTTATTACAAAAATAAGTTACACTCGCCTCCAGCTTACAGTATA